TSKGRKWYTRKGRKWYTSKGRKWYTSKGRKWYTSKGRKWYTSTGYKSKGTGTGATATCCCTACARCAACACAGGAATGGGAGATTTTCAGCTGTAGAGAGGATAAAAGAAAGACTGGCCCCAGGTCCTGCCCTCGGAACCCTCCCGGGAAGCACAAACCAAAGTCCCCGCTGTAACAGAGCAGATGTTCTGCTTAGAAGGAAAATCCCAGCAGGTCCGTGTCAAAGGGTTTCCCCGTGGGATTTGGMAAAACCATTAAGGAGCAGCTTCTGCAGAGCTGGAGAGCTCAGGGCAGAGCAGGGGGATGAGCAGGGGGATGAGCGAGCTGCCAGACGTGCTCAGAGCATCCTCCAGCACCAGCCACGCTCCCCCTGCCCCAGGGCCCCCATCTCATCCCTCTCGTCCACAAATTCAGACTGACATTGTCATTTCCTTGCATTTCAGTCTGTGAGAGCCCCTGAGACAGCGGAGCAGAAACACYGCACAAGGAGACACCGCACGCTTTTATACAAATTGACAATTATTAACCCGCTGGAAATGTTTTCATTATTGCTGATCCCAACCCCACTCTTCACCCAGAGACACAAACCCACAAGATTTACAGCTCAGTGAACGGGAGGAAAAGCTTTTTAGTCGATCCCTCTGAGCTTTCCAAGAATGCCTTTGCTCATCAGAGTCTCCTTGATTTCCCCTCCTGAATTTCCCCCACACTTCACTCTAAACAAGGATGTTTGGGGTCACCCCGCACAGCAAAGAGTTCCCAATTAGCATTCTAATGATGAGCTCATTAGTGCCCTGTGAAGGAGGTCATTCCCGAGTTCCTGAGCACACACAAACACACACACAGAGCTGCTGACGGAGCCTCACCGGGAATTTCAGCTCCACTAAYTCCTCATTTCCCTGCGGATCCTTTCTGGAACAAAGGGAAAAGCTGAAACCCCCACCCTGTGCTGACAGCTGGAGTACTCCAGGAACACACAACATTTACTGTTCAACTGATCAATGTGCAAAGGCGTTTATAGGAAAGGAATTCTCTGCAAGGTGMGAGCTCCCAGGACAGATCCTGCCTCCATCCCACCACCCCTGCTATCCGTGCTGAMATAAAAACACCAAGCTCTGAACTCCTGAAACTCCTACTTCTAACTGCTGCCTACAGTAGGAAATATGTTCATATCCTAATCAAAACTGTTAAACCCATTTCTAAAAAGAATTTATATTGCTGTAAGAAACACAAGKGTTAGAGGAGGATCTGAAAATAGATGTGTCCACCAGGAACCACAAACTGGCTTGCTGCTGGTGACCATGGCTGGAATTTGGGGGAGAGCATTGCCCCATGACCCCAGAGCACATTCAGCTGTGTGAAAAGTGAAATTGTGAATTAAAACACTTTTCTGATTCTGTTGGCCTTTTCTAAGAAAAATGAAGAACATTTTACTCTCCTGTATTTAAAACAAGCACAACTGACAGTGGATTTAATTACCTCCCAGTAATTTTGTTTTAAGAGTAACTACTGATCTAAAACATAAAGTCAGCATTTGTTATTATATCCCATTGAAACTTAACACCTAAATTACTGCAGTAAAGAGCAATAATTAAATAATGTTCACATAAAGCCTCTGGTAATTTCAACACCAAATTCAGTATTTCCTCCAGAGCACACAGAATCCCAGATTAAAGGGGTTTCCAGCTGATCAGCCCTTCTTACCTGCCCAGAGCTCTGCTGCTTGTGCTCGCAGGGAATGGGTGACATGGGACTGTTGTGTGGCTGGTGCAGGGCTTTGATCCTGACTTTGATCCTGGCCTTGATCCTGGTCTCAATCCCGGCCTTGATCCTGATCTCGATCCTGTCCTCGTCCCACAGCTCTGGATTTCTCCGCTTCCCTGTGGATCCCATGTGGTCAATCCCACTCTGGAATTTCTTCTGGTTTTCCCCCTCTTCACCTGTTTTTCTAGAGGATTCCTTTTCTGTCCCTGTGCCAGCATCCCAGGCTCTGGCACTATGGGATTTGTGGTCCCTTTCCCCAAGGTGAGGACATTTTCCAGGTGACATCTTCTGTTTCCTCTTGCTGCCTCTCCCAGCCCCATGCACGTGGATCAGGAAAAATCTGTTTCAGTTCAGTCTTTTCCAGGTTGAACTTTTTGCTGGGACAGTGTTAAGCCTTTTGCCATCGTTCYGGGACAGCCAATTGTAAATTATTGTGTTATTTTTCTCATCATGGTTTACTGAGAATTCAAAAAAAAATTACAGCTTGATTTCCTGAATGTAGCTTTATGTTTTTTCCTAAAACTGGACTTGAGGGATATTCAACAAAAGATGGGAAATACCATGTGCAACAAAGAAATACCTCGGAATAAACCACTTCATTTTCATTCATATTCATCTTTTCATGAGCTACTCCTCTGGAACTCTTCCCAAAATCTTCTTTCAATACAGATTTTTAAAGAACTATGGATAACAAATATAAACGTGTGACGTACAAATACAAACAGGACACGGGCACTTCTACACAGAAGCAATTTGCCACCTGCTTAGCAGGGAACCAGAATGAATTCAGAGTATCTGAATTAGTGACAGTGCTGCTGTCACAGAGCCCGGAGCTTGCCAGGGTTTTCTCGAGAGTTTTGTTCAATCAGTGGTGCTGGGGCTCCAGGAGGAGCCTGTGGCTGGAGGAGGGAGGAGAGGTTTTGGCTTTCCTCATCAGCTCAGTTGTGTCCTTTGCAAACGTCCCTCGGGGATTTCAGGGGTGCGGGACCCCCACAAATGCTGGGTCAGCCCCCGTGAAAGGGTCCCAAAGATTGCAGCTCCCACGGCCAGCAGTGAAGCACAGGGCGGATGTGGAGGGGTGGGAAGGGCAAGGGCTGTTTGCTGGGCATGGTCAGTGTGTGGGGCATGGTCAGTGTGCCCAGCATGGTCAGTGTGTGGGGCATGGTCAGTGTGCAGGGCATGGTCAGTGTGCAGGGCAGGGTCAGTGTGCAGGGCATGGTCAGTGTGCAGGGCAGGGTCAGTGTGCCAGGCATGGTCAGTGTGTGGGGCATGGTCAGTGTGCCCAGCATGGTCAGTGTGTGGGGCATGGTCAGTGTGCAGGGCATGGTCAGTGTGCCCAGCGTGGTCAGTGTGCAGGGCATGGTCAGTGTGCCAGGCATGGTCAGTGTGCAGGGTATGGTCAGTGTGCCCAGCATGGTCAGTGTGCCAGGGATGGTCAGTGTGCCCAGCATGGTCAGTGTGCAGGGTATGGTCAGTGTGCCCAGCATGGTCAGTGTGCAGGGCAGGGTCAGTGTGCAGGGCATGGTCAGTGTGCCAGGGATGGTCAGTGTGCCAGGGATGGTCAGTGTGCAGGGCATGGTCAGTGTGC